CTTTTTTTTTTTTTTTCCCCCCCCCCCCCTTTTTTTTTTTTTTTTTTTTGTTTTGTTTTGTTTTGTTTTGTTTTTTTCCGTCTTTGTCGTCTGTCTCATTCCACCCAGGTCGCCCACCCAAATTCAGCAGCGTCCCGGAGCTGGGCAGCCTCACCCCGACCTCCCCCTCCAGCCCCGTCCGTCCCCTCCCCCTGCCCAGCCCCGGCTCTGGGGACGTAAGTAACGATGGGGGAGACGGCGGACGCCCCCGTCACACGCAGCCCCGCTGTCGCCCATTCACACACACCGCCATCACTTTGTTGTCCATGTGGTAACCATGAGCCATCACTTCCTGTCATTCAGCCTTACAAAGTGAACAGAGTCCATGAATAACACACACATCCTAACAGACACACACACACATCCATCAGAGCTCTAAACGAGACCAGCTGTAAACTAAGCCAGATCACGGTCCTGCCCCCTCCCCTCCGCCCCGCCTCGCCCCGCCTCTCCATGCAGGGTGGGTGGGGCTCCTATGGAAACTGATTTGGTCCAATTCTTCCTCGCAGGGAGACATCCACGAGGATTTCTGCACTGTGTGCAGACGCAGTGGCCAGTTGCTCATGTGCGACACGTGTTCTCGTGTTTATCACCTGGACTGCCTGGATCCACCCCTGAAAACCATTCCTAAAGGCATGTGGATCTGTCCAAAATGCCAAGACCAGGTAACCGCAGCAGCAGAGACTGATCCAGGGTCAGGGGAGCGTTAGCTGTGCTCTAGTCAGGGCTGAAGCGATTAATTGGATTAATCGTGATTAATTGATTGTTGAAATAATCGTCAAATAATTTTGTAATTGATTAATCGTTAACTGGAGTTTACAGACTCAAAAATAGGCCATTTGCTACACAGTCTGAGCAGTAATTTACCCAGAACGGAATAAAAGTACATACATTTTGCATTTAAGATGAAGTGATGTTCTACCCAAAACTTGATTTGCATATTTTTAGCTTCACCCGGTTAAAAGTTTGTGGAAAAAATATTTTATTAAAGGGACAGAATTATGTAAAATCAACTTTTTTGAGATTTACATCATGTTGTAATGTTATCCCCCCATCAAAACATACCTGGAGTGTTGCTTTGATTCTTTTATGCATGTTTGAGAAATCCTTCAATCTCCATGGCAACCATTCAGTTATACAAAACGCCTGAGTGGACCTAGCTCCGCCTTTCAGGCGCAGCTCCTCCTTCCAAGCTTGCGCTTCACAGAACAGCCCTTTCTCTGCGACTTCCCCCCCCCCCCCTCAGTTCCTTCTGACTAGCCAACAGCAATTAGCAAACACCTGCTGTGCTCATTACATGAGCTACTTCTCAGTTCAACCCTGGTAAAAATGTTAACGGGTTATCTTCCTGAAAGATCAGGAGTTTTTAAAGAGACAGAATTCAATTTCCAAGGCGTTTAGTTTACAAAGTCAAATTTCTTTAGTCATATTTGAAATATACAGCAGTTTTATAACAATCAAAGTTAAAATAGTTACTTGATTATGCTATAACATGCCATATTGTGTTAGGAAAATACATAATACTGCCCTTTTAATAACCTTTTGCTATCCAAGTATTAGTCGGTTAATACAAAAAAGTCAGTCATACACTTTGTTGATGAGTCAGGCAGAAAGGTCTGAGCGCTCCATATTTTGATTTTAAAAGTATTTTTTAGCTGCTGATACATGCTATACTATTTACTTTTTCTTATTTACAAAAATGTTTATCTGCAATTTTTAAATGAAGTCTAATGCATAAAAAAGGCTTAAATGAAATTTCCGCAGAATGTCTTTTTTTATCCAATTATCAAAAATAATCAAGAGATTAATTGCTAACTAATAAATGGTTAACTGTAATATTAAATGCTGTTTCAGCTGTAGGACTGTTCAGTACTTTGTAAGCACACACATGATGCAGTACTGTTTTTTTTGTGCTTATGTCTCATTCATTGTGTCAGTTGAGGTTGACATCTCACGTCCATCCACTCCATCACCCGCTCCCTGTCAGTCCCACGCAGCGTGGAGGCTAACCTCGACTCTTTAAATCTGTTCTGGGTCTCAGCCTTTGTGACACCTCTGAGCTTCTCCCCTCAGATCCTGAAAAAAGAAGAAGCCATTCCCTGGCCCGGCACCCTGGCTATCGTTCATTCCTACATCGCATACAAAGAAGGCGAGTCTTCCTCAGAGTTCCTACGGGGGCTTGAAAGCCTCAAAAATGCTTGAATTTCAAGTTTGGAAAGTGCTTGGTTTCTGTTTAAAGTCATAGAAAGTGCTTGATATTCAAACTAAGTTTTGTAATAAAGTACGGTGTAACCTTTGAGTAAAAGTTAAAATTCATATATAGCGTTATTTACAGTTGAAATCAGGTATTTAAATTGGTCCTGTTATGCAAAATTCACATTTTGGAGGTTTTTTGTATTTCTGTTTGTTTCAAATGGTTCTAGAAACAGAACAAGCACTTAAAAAAGTAAAATCCTAGCTGTTTTTTGGCAATAAGATAATGTTTTTTGGTGTTTGCAAAATGACCAGTTTCATTAGTCACATTCCAGGGGCACCATGCCTGTTACCTAGCAACCCTAACCTAGTCCAGCCCCGTTACCTAGCAACCCAAGCAAAGTTCCAGCACGTTTCACCAGCTAGTTTTGCTGTTGATAGACTGTTATACTCCTGATTGACGGAACAGTGTACTGTTGTTTTTACATGTTTGATCAAGCTTGGTGTATTTAAGTGTGCTATATTGGTACAAAGTTATCAAATAAAGTGGTAAATTAATACATTTATGCCAGTTTTTTTTTTTTTTTTTTTTTTTTTAAAAAAAACTTTTAAGTTAATTCACGCCTGTTTTTTTTTTTTTGTTCCGGGGCTGAT